CCACGGCTAATTCACTTGAATTTGTTTGCTTATCAGTCATATATTTCTGAATGTAACTCTAATGGTGTATATATATGTATATGCCCTGTATGTAGAGTCCTACCAACATTTGATGAATTCATTAAATCCTGCTTTATTAACCTTTCTTTCTTGTTTTAAATTCATGTCGGAAAATCAGTATTTCAGATAAAGTACTAGGTGGTCAACTCACGAGATACTCATTAGTTTAATGCCCAGTTTACTCCAGGCTTTTTCATTTAAGTACTCATCAGTGAGATCGGTTTATTAAATGAAACTAATTTAAACAGCTCAGTTTTTAATGTCATACCTTTCGATAACTTACTGATTTCACGTGTTCTTGTGGAGCCAGTTATGATGAACAGTTGATGCAAATCCTGTATGAAGGGGTTCAAGAATACTATCTCACATGGTTGCTGAAAGGTGAGAGCAGCTCCATAAGAAGTTCAGTAACTGAACACTTTTTAGACATTAGCCACTCTATCTTAACAAACTCCTCCTTCAAGGAGATCTAAAAAGTGGAAGTAAACTGCCCAAGGCGATCCGCTTTCGCCACTTGATGAGAAAGCTGGATCTGTGAATTCAAAATAAGATATTTTATCCACTTCTCTTATAGTAGTTAGGACCCTACTGTTCTCAACCTAATTGTTTGACCTATTTTATTTCTCTGGACCCTTTCTGACTCATCTATTCTCTCGAACCCCTGAATAACAAAGAATTTCCTTTATTTCTATGTACATCCTGATTAAAACTTACATTAAATTACCTATGTATTCATTAATATTAGCAACTATTCTAATGATGACTCATCCCTTTGTTACGATCCACTTTTACGAGAAAACAATTGTATATGAATGCGACTGTACCGCTAAAGAAAAGAATTCACCGAAAAAAAACTCTTCGCTGAAGCACTTGTCTAGTTTTTATGAATTTAGAAAACATCGTTATTTTATCTCGATAACTAAAATATTATTTCATTGACTATTATTTTATTACTTATTCCTTTACGTGCCCAGTGGAACAGAGGGCTTCAAGCCTCTAGCTTGAAGTTTCGGTGGCAGTGGTGTTTCTTCTTCCGGGATGGGATTGCTAGCCTCATGCTCAACCTTCCCTCTTTATCAGTCTTATTACTGCCTTAGAGAGGTGAAGGAGTGAGTCGGCCGGGGATCGAACCCCGAACCACATGGGGCGTGGCTGGCGAGAATTCTACTGCTGTGCCACCGACGCACTTAGCTGACTAATTGTTCGTCAAATAAATTTATTTTTGTCTTGTGTTTTACAAAGAGACAGACAAGTTTGCACTAAATGCACTGTGTTTATGATGCTAATTCAAAATATTTCTCAACTGAACGAACAAAGATGCGATGTGACTTTTACTTCAGCATCAAGCGAAATGTTCGTTACACCATACTGAAATATATCACCTATCTGTAAATACAGAAGTTTGTTTAGTTCATCGGTGTGAATGGACGCTTGAACCAAATTTGTGCTACCGAAATGGATCCCGGTTATTTTTATGCTGTTAGGTTAGAAAGTTGTAGTATGGAGTAAGTGTCAATGAAAATGTGTTTCTCTTGACCTCTGACTTCGATAGATTCAGGTTCTGATGTAAGTTAGAACTGACACTATGATGACTCAATTCATAACAATCATGTGGGAACAAAACCATGCCATAGTACTACCTCAGAAATTAAATATGCAGGCCATATAACAATGTTCATGGTGGAGTTCAGCAGGTAGACTGTTGAAAGTATTCACCTTCACTTCGGATAGGCTTACTCACTTTCTGTTCCTTGTACAGCCATTTTGGCATGTATTATTGTTGTCATTCAGAATGTTAGTGAAATAAATTCCGTCACAGTCAGCATCTATGACAAAACTGTTGCTCTACCTAGAATAACCGAATAATTTCCTATGGCTATTGCATTGAATTTCCCCTCTACCAGTCAAAAAGACTATCAGTCTGAATAGGGTGATATAAGCTAATTAGTTGCACCTAGAATCAAAACTTGGAAATGGTGGACCTCGTTGAGGAGGCCGCTGGGTGACATCGCCAGTGCTCGAGTGGAACCCGAAAGGGAAACGACGAGTGGACGTCCAAGGTGACATAGAGGAACATGATGCAGTGAAAAGTACAGCAGAAAGCGTGCAGCTGAAGCCCTATGTTCCACTAGGAAACCAAGGGAACAATAATAATAAAGAATCAAAACTATCCAGTGATTATTTAAGAAGTAATGATTAGCTCTGGTTATAAATACAAAATAGGCCAAGATACAAAAAGCAGGACAGCTGTACAATTGCACCTACAGAAAGTTTTATTTCACCAGTATAGAATGAATTCGAAAACACCCATAGGACATAAGTTTGCATCAGCAAAATATCATAGATTTAGTTAATTTTAGTCATAATTAAAGTATGGAGGATTTCATCATGAGCTGACATCAGTTAGAGAACCACTGGAAAACCTGGGAGTACTGGACAGCTGTTTCGTCTTAGTTTGGGACTCTTCAGCGGTACGCACCCATGCAATCAAACAAAATCCCTACAAAACCAATACTTGATAATTAAAGTAGTTATATACACCTGCCATTGTTCTACATTCTAAATGAACGGCAGTGTAGTGCAAATACCTCCGGTTTTGCTGTTTAGTTCCAACTTTGCTATTTGGGTAATTTCTGAAATATCTCTCAAACAGTTGCTTTGTAATACTTTAGACCAATCCTCAAAACTGTAACTGTTTGTCCTATAATATTCACATATTATTGTGCGATAATTTACTGGCTACTCAAATAGCATTTGATTAATATATATTGATGTGATAAAATATTTTACTCACTGTTCATAGTTAAACGTTAAGTAATTTCTGAAGATTTTTGGAAGCAAGTACACAGACTAGAATTGATGGTGGGCTGTTGAGAGAAGTTAATATATCTGAGTTGGTGATAAGGTTTGCGACTGTTTGTTAAAGACCAAAATGGCATAAACCAATTCAGATCGGCATTTTTAGATGAAACCGAATACAAAACGTGAGGTGTCCTACTGTTCTTCCTTTATACACTAAAAAATCCATCGCTAATCTGTGTCAGATAATAATCTTCACTGCAGCGTAATTCATATGTGATGAAAATGCCATTTAAGAAATCATAAACACTAGTAGTATGTGCTTTGGTGTGCTGAGTATAACCGACAAATAAATAAATTCACCGTTGAGGGTGATCTGCAGTGGGCCAGTAAAATTCTGTATATATACCATCGAAGCCTTCGTGCCGCTTGCTAGTTAAAGGCAATAAAACGGTTTAGAGGAGTAAAGGAAAGTAGTCAGCCATAAGTGTGGCCTTATAAAATGATGAGTAAGTGTTGTGTTCTGGCATATTTTTGATGCTCACTGGTTAGAATCATTGGAATGGACTTATATTATTATTATTATTACTGTCTTGGGAACCAAATGGAACACAGGACTTCTATAGCACATCTCCATTCCATTCTCTTCTCTGAAGTTACTTTTAGCTGACTCCATGGACCTTATAATCTCTTGTCTCCACCTCACATGATCTCCTCCATTTCACCCTCGAATACCTGACTGGTCGTTTCCCATTCAGGTTTCACTCAATAGTCTGGTGCATGGTGTCAACCAATGACCTTCTTAGCGTGTATCCAATCCATCTCTACTTTCTTCGGCTTATTTGTTAGGTGTTTGATCCTTGGCTGGTTCATCGCCTGAATTCCATGTTGCTAATCCTTTCTGACAGGTCTGATTTGATCTTTAGTATGGAACGATAGAAGAATTAAAGCTAACTAGTACCATTTCCTGTCTCAGCTAATTCTACACTGGATTTTCGTGTAGACCGAAATCATTTTAGAAGCGTTTCATGCGGTTATTCCTCTTATCAGCTTCTGCTTTACTGCTCTTCTTTCATATATCTGATTTCTTAATGTCGTCCTACTGTTTTCTAAGAAATGTTTTTCTCTGCTTGTTGAATGTCACATTTCAGTCGAATAAACGATGAAAAGGCGATCAACTTTTCAAGGATAAAAAGAGAACCATCTGTCTGTCAAGTTGACAGTGAGAATGATTTCCGACCGATGATGATTGTTATGCACAGTTAACTGACTGTAATTACAAGGTGAGGAAATCATCCCACAGATTATACTTTTATGTGGAACACATGCACATCTCAAAATGATACGTAGATTATTATGAGGTATAGACATTTCACGTACCACACATTGAGAACCACTTTAGAATGTCACTGTCAGATCTTCATCTGTGCCACTTAAGCCCAAGCGAAATGCTAGCTGTTGAATGACTATGGCATGAAATTCCCTGGAATCTTGATGCACATTTATGGCCAGTGTGACGTGGAGACAAATACTCGCTAACGAGGCTGTTCGGCAGTCGCGTTATACATCGAAAGTGGTCAAAAGTTAGAGCTCTAGGGTCATTTGATTCCATCCTGTTGACTAAATAGTCAGCAGGCTTACTTCCTAACTTAAAAGTCCTGGATTCAGTCCCTAGTGTGGTCATAGGTACGCACTGATGAAGAGTGCACAATCAGGATAACAAGACTGTCCAGTACTCCCTGGCTCTCAGTGGTTTTCAAACCGATGTTATTTAATGAACTAACTTGAAATTAATCAAATCCCTGCAAACTAACATTTGAAAAACAAAAAGATATTTCAAATAAACCGCAGTTAATAGATCATTACTATTCCCTTGGGTTCTGAGCAGAACAAGAGTTTCAGCAGCACACCTTCATTCCACCCCCCCTGTATATTCAGTCCCCAACTACTGATAAGCTTTCATCTCCTCCTCTACGTCACCCTCAGACGCCCAACTCATCGTTTCCCATTCGGGTTCCACTTGAGCGATGGCCAGGCGCAACATGTCACCCAACGGTTTCCCCAGCATGAGTCCGATACATCTCTGTATATAAACCATGAAAAGCGTTATACAAAAAAAAAACACTGACATATTTAATTACCTCAATGTAACTGAGTATTATGTAGAACATTCAGTTGTCCATCTCCATTTTCACTGTTTTTTTCTAAAGTAAGACGTCGTAATTGTACCTATACAGTAATAGTAATAATAATAACAAAAATTTCTGCTTGCTTCTAATCAACTTTACCTGAAGATGTAATTTACTGGTGAAAAATAACTTCTTCCATCCAAATAATTTAGCTAAATCTTCAATAGCTTCACTTGGTTGCACTGATGTTGTACCGATATAAATTTCCCGCCATAATGACTCACTATTACACATCTTTAAATTTTAAAAAAAAAAACAATAACAACAATAATTTAAAAGCTGATTTAAGAATATAAATCTACCTGATTTAGAAATTTTGATGTAATTCCTAGATTGATTACATCTTCTAAATTTAAATAGGAGATTATTTTTGCTAAGATTTCATATGGTAATCTGACTAAGTAGTCCAATTTTCCAGAGCATAGATTTAAACAATAGTCTAGTGTTTCTTGACCCATAACTCTGAGTATTTCATCTACAAAAAATAACAAAAGAGTAAAAACACAAGTAATAACCGATTAAAGGATGCTTTTTTCTTTTATTGCTCAAATAGATGTCATCATTTTTATTCTCAAGTATTGGTTTTGTAGGGATTTTGTTTGATTGCATGGAGGATTTCATCATGAGCTGACATCAGTTAGAGAACCACTGGAAAACCTAAGAGTACTGGACAGCTATTTCGTCCCAGTTTGGGACTCTTCATCAGTACGCACCCACCGGGGCTCGAATGAAGTTGGAATTCATGGGCCACTGGATCGGATCCCAGTGGCTCAATGGTCTACGAGCTCGCCCTGCACCCAGAAGGTCCTGGGTTCGAACCCCAGTGGGTGCGTACTGATGAAGAGTCCCAAACTGGGACGAAACAGCTGTACAGTACTCCCAGGTTTTCCAGTGGTTCTCTAACTGATGTCAGCTCATGATGAAATGCTTCATTTAGTCATTTTTATTATCATTCGTTTTTTGGTTTGCGGGTGGAATATAGAGCTTTAGCAGTACACCGCCACTGTACACTGTTCTACGTTATCATTTCTACCCGACTCTACGACTACCTACAAGCCTTCATCCCTCTCCTCCATGTTATTCTTGGATATCCGACCCACTAGGGTTCCACACGAGGAGCTGGTGTGTGATGGATGTTATTTGAAATTCTCCTCAACGTATGTCCATGTCTCTAATAGAAGAACTTGGGTTATCAAAATGTTCCATCTCTTTTTGTTTTAATCGATTAAAATATGATCTCTAATGGTATTATTTACTGTTGTGAGTATTTAAAATGCTTACAGCCTGTTGATTCGCAAAGTTCTGCTAAACTTGAGACGAAGATATAATCGTGAGTGACAAAGTACCCCAATACTTGAGATAACTGTTCTTGAGTTATTTCCTTGGGTCTCAAAAATACTTATTATTCGATTTCTAAGGAAATATCGTGGATTCCTCGAAAGAGACAAAGCAGAAATATCATAAGTAAGTGTTATGTACTGCAGGTCGCAGAACACTGTGTTATAAGATCTACTATCAATTAATATTTTATTTGAATTTCTTATACAAAGAGAAAATATGATGCAATAAACTCCCTTGTGTGCGTTGGTGGCACAGCGGTAGAGTGCTCGTCGACCATGCATACGATCTGGGGTCCGATCTCCGGCCGACGCACTCCTCCTTTACCTTGCTAAGCCAGTAATAGAACTGGTGAAGAGGGAAGGTTGGGCATGAGGCTAGCAACCCCATCTTGTAAAAATGATCACCACTGTGACAGAAACTTCAAGCCTCTAGCTTGAAGATATATATTCCACTGGGAACGTAAAGGAATAAAAAACTCCCTTGTTCAGAACAAGGCTATTGTTGTATCATTGCTAGTTTAGAAATGCAAATGCTTTTGCACTAGAACGTCTTCTGTCTGATTGGTTTAAAACAATTCATTTTAAATCATATCTGTCAAAGTATTTTCCATAATTCCTTCAATTTTTTTGTTAATGACACTTGAACTTACTTTGCATATGATCGTCGTGTTCAAATTCTTCATAAGTTGAAACACTTTCACCTGGATGATACTTTGCTCCATCATTTCTTGATGTTATCTTCCACCATCTCCATTTAATCTTGTCAGCAGAATGACACAGAAATACGAAGGAATAAATGAGAAATATAAGGGGGGATACATGTGTGTGTGATTCTATAATCTTTAGTAATATTTGATTATTTGAAGTTTGAACCATGGAAAACCAGGAAGTACTGGACATCTGCTTCACCCTTGTTTAATACTCCTCAGCAGTACACACCTAAGACCTCACTAGGGATCAAACTGAAGACCTGTAGGTGCGAAGGAGAGCTGCCTATATATTGCATATTTGTGAAAGATAGAATCCATGAGCCATTAGACTACTTCCCTAGTGACTGAACGGTTAATGAGATTACCTCGTGACCTGAAGGTCCGAGGTGTGACGTCTGATGGGTTCATCGGCTAGTACTGATGAAGAGTCCTAGACAAGGAGGAAACGGCTATCCAGTATTTTCTGGTTTTCAGTGGTTCTCTAATTGATATCAATCTGTGATGAAACTATTTCACATTATCGTTTTATTGGTCTTGAATAAAAACGGAGACGAAAATACCAATAGATATGGAAAGAGTAAATATGGTTCATTTTCATGTTGTGTTTTCAGTCCCATTATCAATAATTCTCAAGTGCTACTGATGGTTAACATTCTGAATAAGGAAAAAACATTTTAAAAAATGCACTTCTGTATGCAAATCAGATCAACAACTATCTGTTCCACAGTTTCATGATATATACCTTGTGCTATACACCACAGAATTTTGATTAGCTTAATATTATTTGTGTTTACATCACTATTCTAAGATGTCGGTGGCTCGGAATACGTACCTAGGGGTTGAAACTGCATTGAATGAGTCTTACTACTACCTTTTATTCTGCATCGGGCTTCAGTGATACTTACTCTGTGGTTTCTTCACCATATTACGGCTTGATAAAGACGCGTATAATCAAACCTCAGAAAAATCGCCCTAGTTTTTCCACTGAATGCTTATATCTGTTCATAGAATATGGGATAGAATATTGCTGAATAGTATAGTTCTTCTCCAGTGAATGATTTTTAAAAGTTTCGTTTCTTCATGTTCTCAGTTGAACATAGGGCTAGAGGCTTCAAGTGTCTGTAGCACTTGTGTTTATTTTTACGGGATGGGATTGCTTTACCAGCCTTGTTACCGGCCTAGAGACGTGTAGGAGTGCGTCAATCGGGGACTTAACCCTGGAACATGTGGTGCATGATCGGCGTGCATTCTACCCCTGAACCACTGACACTCGGAAGTGTGGAGATAATCTGCGGTTGTCCAAGGCGGCGTTTGTATTCCAGGTAAGACTTCGTAATTAAACATCACATCATGACATATTCAAAACCACATATGTGGTCACTTCATTTTCTGTACTTAATTGAATAATAAGTAGCGACCAGTTCTAAGGTATCAAACATTACAGTGTTTGCTATTCTACGATATTTAAAGTTTACAATTACTGTGTGATCAGAAGAAAGTATGATATTAGATGGCTGCAGGCAGTCGGCCACAGGAAGCCTTGCTCGACCTATGTTTCGTGTTAGTTGGCAATCACCAGTCAGCAAGACGTAGTATCTGCAATTTTGAAGGAACTCATGTCCCTTCTGAGATTCGAACGCACGTTATCTAGTGCTGCAGTCAGAGACATTACCACTGAGCTATTCGGGCTCGAATCTCGGAAGGGACATGAGTTCCTTCAAGGTTGCAGATACGCCTTGCTGAGTGATGAGTGCCAACTAACTCGAAACGTAGGTCGAGCAAGGCTTCTTGTCGATTGCCTCCAACTATCTAAAATCATCAAATCAATGTACACCATGATGGTGAGCTACCTAAAACTGTGACCACATTGCAAACCTGACTGATAGAATTCAGTCTGCACCGAGGAAAGGACTAGACACATCGTACTAGTTACTAGTGTCCAATCAAAGAAGAAAGTTAGAAAATTTTAATGGATCCATTTTAGATTTGTTCACAATATTACAACTGTTACCTTAAACATGAATTTTATGTGTCCACTTGCCTTAGGAAGAAGTATTTATTTAGCTTTCTGAAAATCATAATGAATTTTGTTTGATTATTGGTTAAATTCAGGATAGAAAACTCTGATGAGTTAACAGCCAAGAGGATAGTGTTTCTTTAATGGCTTAAGCGAAAGGATGTTTCAAGTTTTGGTCATACATTGATGTCAGTTAGAGAACCACTGAAAAGCAGGAAGTACTGGAAAAACAACTGTTTTGTCCTAGGCTGGGTCTCATCTGCAGTAGTCGAACCCACGATCTTCCACTTACAATGCAAATTTCCAATAGCTGAATGGTCAGCGAGCTTGTCTAAGCTGAATGTTGTGGGTTCGAAACCCAGTGGGCGTGTAGGCAAGCGTAAACAATAGATACCAAAGCCAAATGCCTTTGGTTCAACTAATCAGATAGCCCAACATGGTTAATGGATGCTAGTCATACTCCTCGTTGAAAGCGTCTCCTTAAGTTGGTTTTTGACTTCTCTATGGAAAATGGGTTGCTAGGGAGGACTAAAACATGCATATTTGGAGGGATAATGACTCTGAAAAAGTATTGCCGGGGTATTGATGATTATACATTCAGATGCAACCACTTTATTTGAGGAAGTCTGTAAGAGTTGGTAAGTCGTAGATAATGGTGATTTTTTAGAGGCTTTCTTCTCGAAATCGAAACTCCCCCTTAGTAATATATTGCGTGTATGCGACCAGTATCTGCTACAGCTGCAGAAATGGAGAATACATTGGTTTGATATGCCTATAACCATTTCTGTAAGAAACTGGGGCCAGTTTTTGCAGCATATTAGAGATATATGCCCTGTTTGATTTATTTTTATTATCATATATATATATATATCGTAGGTACACCTTTTTATAAATCAGGCACCACTTTTCACCTAGAAGAATCTGACTGGCTGTTTCAAGGTAGTCCGACGTTGGAGTCTATTCCTTACTGTTGCCGGTGCGTACTGTTCATGAGTTCCAAACTAGGACGAAACAGCTGACTGTCGAGTACTCCCTAGTGGTTTTCAATAGTTCTCCAATTGATATTAATCCATGGTCAGACTTGAAACAAATCAAATCCCTACAAATAAACTCATGGAAAGTTAATGATATCTGTTTTATTATCTGAAACCTACAGGATACCGAATTAAGGTATTCAAAGATTACTTTTCTATAACTTTTGATACGTGTTAAAATTATTATTATTATTGTTCCTTTGGGTTCCTAGTTGAACATAGGGCTTCAACTGCACGTCTCCACTCGCTTCTGTCTCCTGTTGTACTTTTCATCTGCATCCATAATATTCCATACTGTTTCAAATCATCTTCATACGATCTCCTCCATGTCATTCTTCGATGTCCCACTCACCGCTTCCCTTTCGGGTTCCACTCGAGCTATGGCCTGACGCGCGATGTCACCCAACGGCCTCCTCAGCGAGTGTCCAATCCATCTCTAATTTCTCCTGCATATTTGTTGGGCGACTGGTTCTTGTTTGTTTTGTTTGTTCCCATAGTTTCTTGTTGGTGATTCTTTCCAGCCATCTCATCTTCAGTATAGAGCGAAGACAGCTGTTGATAAAGGTCTGCTACAGGCTGTTGGAAATATTCTTGGTGACCCGCCGCCAAGTTTCTGATCCGTATAGAAGAACTGACTGACTTGACGTTTGTATTGAAAATCCGAATTTTGTTGTTGATGCTGAGTGACAGCGGAAGATTTCCAGATTGGTTTCAGGTTGACGAATGTGTTTCTCGCCTTTCCGATTCTCGATTTGACATCCTCCTCCGTTCCTCCTGTGGTTGAGACAATGCTCCCTAGATAAGTGAGTGAATAAAGTGACCTCTTTCAAATCCCTCCCGTTGATGGTGATTGGCGCTGGATGTTGCTGCTGTTGTTGTTGTTTTTGGTTGGTTATTTTCATAACCTCCGTCTTGTCTATGTTCACCTGGAGTCCTGTCTTCATTGGCTACTTCTTCGACCAGTTTGTCTGTTTTCGCTTGTAAGTCTTCGATTTTGTGTGACTTCAAACATAAACCATCCGCGAAATCCAGGTCTTCTAGGTTCTTCACGTCGGTCGAGGATATCCCTGTCTTCTCGTTTCCCACTGTCTGACGCATAATCCAGTCCACCACAATTAGGAATATCATTGGTGATAATAAGCACCTTTGTCTGACTCCTGTGTTTACTCCAAACGCCTCGCTGAGTTTTCCGTTGTGGATCACTTGACATGTGACGTTGTCATACAGCCGTTGAATAAGGTTGATGAATATTTGGGGTACGCCGTAGTACTCGAGTAGTTTCCAAATTACTTCGCCGTCAACGCTGCGCTGTCGAAGGCCTTCTCAAAGTCTATAAAGTTGAGGTAGAGGTTTGATTGCCATTCCATGCTTTGTTCGATGATGATGCGTAGAGTTGCAATTTGGTCAGAACATGATTTGCCTTTCCTGAATCCAGCTTGTTCTGGTCGGATACTTGTTAAAATGCCGTTAAGTTATGATCGTCGTATTTACCGCTAGACATTTCTGAAAACTGACTAGAAATAACCACAAAGCTCATACCCACTTCATACCCTTGCAACGGTAAAAATGTACGAGAAATGTGATTCCTCTTTACATCATCACACCGAAACAGTTGATTCTTCATTTTCTAGTTTCCTTCTAAAATTTCCAACTACACTCGTTTAATATCCGTCTACAAACAGTTTTGAATCTGCAATTTTCACTGAAGATTCTATTTAGCCTAAATCAGGTTTTAGGATGTTTTTATTTTTAGTAATATTATTTATGGAAACCCATCATAGAATTAAATATCCATAAAATAAAACAGCAAATGTTCTGTCTGTAATATAAAAACCGGTAGCCTGTCTATGTCTCTATCTCTTTATTGCTTTTCAAAGACTTCTGATATCCACAAGTATGCACTGTAGTTTTATAAACAGTTACCACATTAATGTCCTACTCTGTACTAATTAGTGGCTAATGTCATTTGTAGTAATAATTCAATTCTGTAGCAAATAA